GGGACTGCCTCTTCAGCAAATGGTGCTGGGAGAACTGGATATCCATATGCAGGAGAATGAAACTAGACCCATACCTCTCACCATATACTAAAATCAACTCAAAATGGATTAAGGATTTAAATATACACCCTGTGGGCCGGCCCGGTGGTGCACTGGAGAGGGCGGCGCTCCCACCAAGGGTTCGGATCCCATGTGGAGACCGGTTCCCGCTCACTGGCTGAGCGCAGTGCAGGTGCAACACCGAGGGTTGCGATCCCGTTGCCGGTCCCCGGTACGGGCGCGACACCGAGGGTTGCGATCCCGTTACCGGTCAGTAAAAAAGACAAAAAGGAAAAAAAATAATAATAATAATAAATATACACCCTGAAACAATAAAACTTATTAAAGAAAACATAGGAAAAACACTTTAGCAAATAGGGCTGGGCATAGACTTCATGAATACGACCCCAAAAGCACGGGCAACCAAAGGAAAAATAAACAAATGGGACTATATCAAACTAAAAAGCTTCTGTACAGCATAAGAAACAATTAACAGAGCTAAAAGACAACCAACAGAGTGGGAGAAAATATTTGCAAAATATACATCTCTGCCTGACTCGTTTCACTCAATATTATTCTCTCAAGGTCCATCCATGTTGTTGCAAATGGCAGTATTTCATTCGTTTTTATAGCTGAGTAGTATTCCATTGTGTAGATATACCACATTTTCCGTATCCACTCATCCGATGATGGACATTTGGGCTGATTCCAACTCTTGGCTATTCTGCCTGACTCGTTTCACTCAATATTATTCTCTCAAGGTCCATCCATGTTGTTGCAAATGGCAGTATTTCATTCGTTTTTATAGCTGAGTAGTATTCCATTGTGTAGATATACCACATTTTCCGTATCCACTCATCCGATGATGGACATTTGGGCTGATTCCAACTCTTGGCTATTCTGCCTGACTCGTTTCACTCAATATTATTCTCTCAAGGTCCATCCATGTTGTTGCAAATGGCAGTATTTCATTCGTTTTTATAGCTGAGTAGTATTCCATTGTGTAGATATACCACATTTTCCGTATCCACTCATCCGATGATGGACATTTGGGCTGATTCCAACTCTTGGCTATGTAGGCAATTCTCTAAGGAAGATATACAAATGGCCAACAGTCATATGAAAAAATGCTCAACATCACTCAGCATCTGGGAAATGCAAATCAAAACTACACTGAGATACCATCTCACTTGGTGGGAGCTAAAAATAAATTAATTAATTCACTCACATACACACACAAAAAAGAAATCCGGGGTGGGGGGGGAGAAGAAGATATAACAACTACAATCTTTTGAAGTTGTTACAACAAGCAAACGGAAACGACATTCTTGGGTGGGAGGGTGGAGAGGGAGGAGGGAGGGAGGCTTCGGTGATAGGCCATAATAACCAACTACATTGTATATTGACAAAATAAAAATTAAAAAAAAAAAAAAATCTTCCCATTTTCTGGTCTCTCTTCCTGCTTACCAGTATTAGGTGGAGGCCTGATCTCCTGTATTTATTTTCTAATTTTCTTACCATAAGGTACACAAGTCTTATACTTCACACCTCTGACTTTGTTCTACTTTCTTGAATTTATTTGATAAGCATTCTATTAGATTTTGTTGTCATCTTTTACGGTCTTTGGAAATTTTCTTCAGCATCCAGCACTATCTTTGTGTCTCTGAGACTCATTTCTGTTTGGTCTGTCTTTCATACTAAAGACTTTCCCCAAGTATTTAAAAATCCCTGCCTGTCCATTTATATTCACGAAAGAAGCAATTAAAGGACTAGAAGCTACATGGGCATTGGCAGAGCTAATTAATGGATGGACATCACTATGGGTGATGAGATGAAGCCCAGGCATAGGTTAGCTTTTCCAGTGAACACAGAGCTTGGTTAGGCATTCCCCTTACTGTTGGAACCTCCCTGGTAGGAGTCAGATTTTCTAAAACTCTTCAATCTTCTGACTTAGGGAACGAGGGTGGGTAGATGACTACCTGTATGTAGTATGCATTCTGAGAGACAAGTGGAGTTAAGGACTAGAGGCTTACCATTCAGGACAATGACATCTCTTTAATCATTCTATTTTCAGTCTTAAGCTTTAATCTTGCCCTATACTCTTGTCCCTAAGATCTGATTTCTGATATTCTACAGGAATAAGTAAAGCAGGACTAATGTCTGGCCTAAAGAAGCAGAAAAGGCACTTAGAGTTCTACTGTTTTTTTACTCAGAATTTCAACCTTCTCCCCTGTTTTTAGCCTTATGCCTTACTCCCTGCCCTCAAATGTACCTGGCACCCTGAGTCTTTCCCATATTTTCTCTTTATGAATTTATATTCTTAATTCTTTGTGATTTTGGCAGTTTCCAAGGAGAGAGTAGAGGTAAATGTATATTGTCATATGCAAATGAAAGTCCTCTAAAAACAAACTATTTGAGCCACCGGAATTACTTTTAAATTAGTTAGTTACCCCTATCTGTCAGGCTGACCTCTTCTAGATCCTAAGTCACATGTGTAGGTTTGGGTTTTGTTTTGTAAGAGGAACTCTTCAGGTCAGCAAATGGAAATAAGAATTACACAAATGTTTCCAAACTTATATCCTGCCACTTCCTGTCCCCCACTCTCACAACTGAGAAGATTCAGTCTTCCACTGTAAAACTTTGGTGAGGTTAGACTCAAAATTGCTTAAAAGTAAAATCATTAAACACTACATGAGCCACATTATATTGAAGAACTATTTGATGACTTATAAAATGTTGTAGAGTCATCAAAAAAAGCCATATACATATTCCTGCCATATAACTACATAGTCAAAGAACATCAGATGAAAATTATCTAAATGTAATACAATTTTTGAAAGCTCTGCATTACAAAGTTTAAAGTACAAGGTATTTTATTTCTATAGTTTTGTTTCCAATTATCCCTCTTCCCAGGAGTTTTTTTGCCCGTCACGAACAGAGTTCCTGGCAGACTTCTACTCAGAAGTTCAATGTTGGCCAAACTGGCCTTTCTTCTAAAACCAATACATTTCCTATTTATTACGGGTAAAGGAAATCCTCTCACTCGTTCGTTGTCTACAGAGATGTAATTGGGTTCAAAGTGTTTTCTCTCAGGTGAAAACACATAACCAATTATTCATTCCTAGTAAAGGAAGTACAAAAATAACTAATATGTATATTTTAAGAACAAAGTAAGTTCAAGCATCAAACTGGTAATAGCAACTATAAGTGATATAATAAATATACACTGTAGATAAATGAGGACTCTTATTACACTATGTAAAAGTTTCTAAAGCACCCAGAAACAAGATGGTAGCTCGTAATATCATTACATGTCATTTTGTCAGTTTGTAAAATGGATCAATCAACATGAATTACACACACTTGGGAACCACACTTACACAAAGTAATGTGGTTTTGTTTGCACAAGACATGCCTTCAGAAACCTGTAATAAACTGCTAGCAAGAACAAAAAAAATGTTCAGGGTGCTGGCTGGTTAGCTTGGTTGGTTAGAGTGTAGCCTTCTAACACCAAGGTCATGGGTTCAGATCCCTATGCCAGCCAGCTGCCAAAAAAAGAGAAAAGAACAAAAATGTTGAGAAAACCTGATGTCAAATGCTCTAGGAGGCTGAGACCAGGCTACAACTCATTTAAGTTGTTTGCTCACACAGCAAAATTGAATATATATCTACGCATGAATTCTATAAGGAAAGCATATAGAAGAGAACATGGGAATAACAAGAGATGAGTATACTATGAATTACACATACTTCAAAGCAACAGGTCTTTATTATATACAATAATTTTAAATGTTTAAATCTAAAGGTGGATAGTAAATGAAAAAACAGTCATCTAAGCTACAGAGAATGTAAGTACTCTTTAAACAGATGGATACCTGCTGTGTTCGGTGTACACACTTAACGGCCATCCACTTTTGCTCAGAGCTAAACGGGTATTCAGCTTTTCTGATATAGTCCTGTTGAAGACCATCAAGACCCATCTATATGGCACAAAAAGAAAGTTAATTCTTACCAACATGTGGCTATATTTTCCTTTAACAAAGAACAAGGATCATCTTCTTCCAAATATCCAAACAAAGAACATATAGCTAGGTTGGCTATAGATACCTGGATTATTTTTCAAATGCTCCATCTATAAATACTGTACTTCCCAAAATAGCAGCATACATTTTCAACACAAAAGCCTGGGTGTGTAGGTACAGTCTAAGGCACATTATCTGGACGATATGTAAACCAAACCTTCAACACTGACTACATGAATCCCTGTACCAGCTCAAATTCTGGAAGGAAGCAGGACACAAAAAAGGTACCCGACCAATAGCATGTACTTTTATTTATCAATATAAGTGTCAGACTCAATCCCTCACTTCTTAGGGACTAAAATCTGTCTTGCCTGTTGCTACCATCCTAGTCCTTTACCCCACTATTGCTTTATATCCTGACTAATTCCAATGTCATGTAGCTGTTTTCCCTCCCAGTAGCCTTTGCATCTTCTTCCAAATATTCAAAAATATTTTTAAACTATTTAAATATCTACGGTTTACTGCTTTTTGTTTTCGGTATATTGCTTTATATCCTGACTAATTCCAATGTCATGTAGCTGTTTTCCCTCCCAGTAGCCTTTTCATCTTCTTCCAAATATTCAAAAATATTTTTAAACTATTTAAATATCTACGGTTTACTGCTTTTTGTTTTCGGTAGAAACATGTTCAGATTCTTCTTGGCTTTCAAAGGCCATCCAGAAATCCGCCATATATATCCTATTTAACAATTCTCTTGGTCACTCAAACAACTTTCATTTCATCCAAGTGAGCCACCTCATTCGCCACAACCCATTCTACGCTATTTGTTCCTTTATGCTTTTACTCTAGTTCTTTCCCTAGCTTATCTCATCTAAATCCTTCTATCCTTTAAAGCCCACACTCCCAGCTCTGAATGTGCATTGTTTTTACATGTGGCTCAGTGATTAGGATTTAACTGTCTATTGTCTTGGTCTGCCTTTTATATGTTCTAAGAATGTCAATATTAACTTCCTACCTAAAATGTGAGGTCTCTAACCATAAGGAGGTGATTTCACACTCTTTCTCTCAAAGAAGTTAATATCTTATTAGGCATAATACAGGAAAATACTTAATAACTTAATAACTGTCATAAAAACCTACAATTCTACATTGGCTCTCATTTTGACCAACTTCATGTAGAAGCATCCAGCTTCACACAAGTCTCAAAATTTTCTCAGACTACTCTTAAAAGTAGGAGCACTTATTTTGTTAGGTTTCCCACTGAATCAAATGTAGAACTGAGGAGATCAATTGGGACAGATGAAAAGGTCACTGAGAACAAAACTCCCTCTCCCCAACACTGATTTTAACTATACACTCATTTTGAGAAATTAATAAAGGACGGAAAGGAAAGACTGGAAAAGAAAAGCTAATTTTCCACAACTGCATCAATATCTTAACATGAAAATACTATAGAAAGTTACCTTTTACTCATTTAAAAGTTAATATTAAAAAGAAGTTAGCATCTATCAACAATTACACACTTTTATAAAGCATTTCACACACAGATCTCAATTTATGAAACACAGGAACATTTCTTCCTAAGAAGAAATCCATCACTGGTCATTGGTTTATACCTTACATTAAGGAATAAGGTTATACTGAAAAAGCTTTATGCTCTATATTTCCAGGAATAAAACTGGTTCCCAAAAGGCAGTTAAAAAAAGAATTCAATATTGGGAGTTTTCTTCATTAATACCTAAACACCACTAATACTGAAATTGATGCCTCACATTTCTGCTGTGAGGGCAATGTCTCATGTATCAAAGAAGAGAGATCAGGCACATACCTTCATTGCAAGAGCAATTAAGGCTCCTTCTGTTGGCTTCCCCATTAATGTATTGTTTCTAATTACAGCATCATTGCACACACAGCCCGCCTAAGAGAAATACATGTTAACTATGAACTCATCATTGTGTCTTAAGTCATTATACAAAAAATCACCTTCTTGGAGAATAAAATACTTACCTCAACAATTCTGCTAACAGATGGGTTATAGAATCCATGAACGACATCACCATCAACAATCACTTCTCCAAACTGATTGTAGCCAACTCCAGTAACCTAAAGGAACATGAAATGCGATCAATAATACAAACAGAAGAGAGTGACAAGAATTATAAGAACACAAAAACTATGATAAGTTGTTCTATTTTATAATCATGATATTGTTAAAGCATATACCTTAAAAAGCATTAAAGTTTGTGTAAAAGAATATTTAATAGTTAAAAGAATATAAATTATAATTTTCACCACAATGCTTAGCCTAAAAAGATATTGTTTTCTTCTTATATTATAAAAAGTACAAATAAACCATAAGAATATCTATACATAAGTGAGCTTATTAACTTTATACATTACACATATAGCATACTACAGTTCACAAAGAACTCAAATCCAATACCACATCTAAACAAAACCAGCACAAAATTACCACATTACCAGTGACCGAAACAAAAGCAGGATTCTTTTTGCAAATATGGAGCCTCAGAGACATTAGGAGGTTTACCCTAGCACTTACAAACTACTTTACCAAGCATATTACATGCCAATTTTAAAAATTAAAAGTAGAGACAAACCAGATCCATATGACTACAACAAGTGAAGACAAACAGAAGTAAATTTCACAACAAAAATAATACAGTTTAGACAGAATATAATTAACAAATGGTTAATGCTTGACATATAAAATGACGAACTTAACAGAGAAATTAATATCCCATCTTTCAGACCTGAATCATAAAAGCACATGTAACCGCAATGACCCATCTGAATAATCCAGAAAGGACACATCCATCAACACAGCATTGGGTATCCTCTACCAAATCTAGCACTCTAAATAGCAACAGTTTCATTTTAAGGCCTATGTAAAATGGACTTAAACAAAAGTACAACTTCTGTCAATTTGTCTACCACTTATTTGGCTAAGTAAATTAGCTGTAAATACATTTTAAAATATTATACCCATCATGAGTAGTATTGAGAGCATTCCAGTCAAAACTCCTACAAAGACTGGTGGGACTGGAACTTGTCCTCAACCAACTTCAAAAAGAACCACTGCATAGCAACATACATTTAAAAGACTATCAATGCATAATTTTTTAAATAAAGTCATTCATTCATTAATTTATTCATTCAACATTTATTACTATGAGGCAGACCCTGTACTTGGTAATATAGTCCCTGCTCTCTTACAATTTAATAGTATAATGAGAAAGAAGGACAAAAAATTTCACCTGGGATAAGAACAAAGAAGCATGGAATGCTAAGAAAACATATAACATTGAGCCAGTTTGGAGTGGTCAGCAAGCTTTTCTGAAAAATAGGGCTGGCCTTGACATACAAACTGAAGAGGCATTCAATTATCCTAAGCAGTGAGAAGAGCAGCAAAGGCCCTAAAGTAGGGGAAATTTTGTCACACTGAAAGAACTATAAAGCCAGTAAAACTGGTGCACAGAAAGCAAAGGGGAGCACATAAGGCTGGAGAAGGAAATGAGGGACAGAATGTGGAGGTCCTTGAGAGGTCACAGATAAGGATACTAGTTATAATGGAAAGCCACTAGAGCATCTTAATTTAGTGAGAGACAGGCTCAAAATGTGACTCTGAAAAGATCTCCCAAGTTGTTTATAGGGTGAGGGCATCAAGAATGGACATGGAAAGACCAGTGAAGAGGCTTTACCAGAAGGCCAGGTGAGAAACTAAGGAAGCTGGCTATAAAACATCTAGGAAGTTAGGTTGGAGGTCAAAACTGGGAGGTTTGGGTGATGGATGGATTGATGTAGGGGTGACTGAGAGAGAGTTGTCAAGATGAATCAAAGTTTGTGGATTAAACAAGTGTACAAGTGGAATGAAACAAAGACTCAGTAGAATCACACGGGAAGAAAATCTGCTGCTAATTTACAGTCCTTTTAAAGGTAAAGACAGTGGAATTGTTAGAAATGTTAGACACCAAATTTCTTAACAAAAGCGCACTGTTGTTTTAAAACAACAAAACCTATAGAGTACCTCAGCATGCAGACCATCTGAAGTAAATACGTGAGTAACAGTCATTTCATTCTTCGTCAGTGTTCCAGTTTTATCTGAACAGATCACATTACAGCAGCCTAAAGAATAAATCATTATGGGTCACCAAAAGAATCAGGGAGAAATACAGGTCCACTTAGGAAACAAATCAAAGATGCTGGAACCCTGTCCTATTTCTCTGAGTTTCACAGAGATCAAAATCATTGGTAATTTTAGATTAATTTCTCTCATTATGCCTGCTTCATCATAAGGTAAAGTTTCTGGAATTAAAAATAATAATGAGAAGTTGACTTTTTCTTATTTATTTATCTACAGTTAGCTTCTACAAAGTTATCCATATTAGCATTATATGATTATTTTATATAACATATTTTCTAGAAAGTTTGGAGTTCCTAAATATAAACCCACATAATTTCTTCAGTCAGAATTTTTCAAGATATTTCCACATCTCAATATTAAAATGCAAACTAGAAATTAAATTCAATACATTTTTGGATATCCTAAATTTAAAAAAAAAAAGAAGTTTCACAGCATATAACACATAAAATTATGTTATAGCAATATAACTACACACTGTATATTTATTGCTCTTATAAGCAAATTCGACTCTAAGTATGACATTTTGGGATCTATAATTACCAGTTATCTTCCACGATGTGTCAAAAGAAAAACATTCTGTTAATTTTACTCCAAAGTCTCATTTGCTGTATGATTTTTTGTTCCACCCCCTCCCCCCTAATGATTTAACCATTAGGATACTCCATGATTTTGAAAGATTTCTCTTAAAGTCCCCTGTCCTAAGGGCTATGAATTTTTAATTGCCTTTTCTGATCATTAACACCATACCCAACATTGCCACAAGCCAAAAACCATTATACAAACCCCTAACACAAAAACTGTAAAACTCAAACATGATTCATTGTTGATAAGAACTAACATGTCAATACATAAGCATGATCTTAACAGAGACTTACCCAGAGTTTCAACAATAGGCAGTTTTTTCACAATGGCCCTTTTCTTCACCATTCTCATAACACCAAGGGCTAGTGTCACTGTGACTACAATGGGAAGACCTTCAGGAATTGCTGCTACAGCCAAACTATAACCAACATATACACAGTATTAAAATGTAAGTTAAATAGTACCCACAGCAATAATTTGAATTGGATGCTACTTAAAGCCTAATAAAATGAAAAATTAATACTGTCAACCCCAAAAATGGACTTCTCCAAAGTAAGAAAAAGATGATTAACACTTACTGGATACCTACTACTTGCCAGTTTAAGCACAATGGTTAAAGAACATAGGTTCTGAAATCAAATTGCGTGGATTTGTACACCTGGGTTTATCAACTTTTTACTTGTGTGACACTGGGCTACTTATTAATCTACCTCTTTAGTTTACTTTCCTCATCTATAAAGTATGGGTAACAACGGATGCTCAAACAAAAACTTGTACACGAACGTTCATAGCAGCACTACTCACAATAGCCCAAAGATGGAAAATGGCCAAATATCCAACAACAGACGAATATAAAATTGTGATGTCCCTACAATGGAATATTATTCAGCCATAAAAAGAAATGAAATACTAATACATGCTACAACATAGATAGATGAACCTTGAAAACGTTATGCAAAAGTGAAAAAAGCCAGACACAAAAGGCCACATATTATATGATTCCGTTTATATAAAATAACAAGAATAGGTAAATCCACAGACAGAAATTTGATTATTGGTTGTCTGGACCTGGAGAAAGGAAAGAATGGGGAATGACTGCTTAATGTGCACAGGATTTTCTTTCAGAGTGATGAAAAAGTTCTGAAACTAGACAGTGGTGATGGCTGCAAAACACTGCAAATATATTTAACTCCACTGAATTGTACACCTTAAAACAGTAAAGTTTAAGGTGTGTATTTTATCACAACTTTAAAAATTGTTTCCCTTTGCAATTTAAAAAAATAAGTTTCTATTTTTTTGTGCCATTGCAAGTATTACCTCCTGACTCTGCTACAGAAACGCATAAGCATTCCTACCCTTCACTCTATCACTGCTCCCTCTACAGCTTCTACTTCTTAATTTCTACTACCTACTTTTTCTTTAGCTTGATCTAATTTAATAGTAACATCCTGTTCTAGAACCATAATTAACCTTTTTGTACTTCGTTTACAGGTTGGTTCTAAAAGTTGAAAGCAAACAAGTAACATTTGTAATACTATTGGCAAGTCAAGAAATATGTGTTATCATTAACTTTCTTCTCTCCTTTGGGCTACTCTAAGAGAATGTTCCTAGTTCAAATGTAAACCTTTTCTCTTTTGTTTCCATTAATACTCACTACACCAGGAAAAACAGGCATCATAATTTACAAACTAGATCCACTGGACCTTTTCAATCTTCTATGTTTAAGTCATGTTACAAATAATTTGCAGAGGAATAAACAGACTGTGAAAACTTAATTAAAATTTTTCATTTTAATTTTAACCAAAAGTTATTCTGGGATTTGAAGGTACACCTGAAATGGGCAACATCCTTTGGATGCAACTAACTGCTCATCAACTGTCATTAATGAACCTGGAACATATTCAAATACTGATTTTTAGATTTCAAAAAAACATTTCTAACAGGTTCTAGCTTATCAATTCTGGTTCTTCTTTTTGCTCGTTTCGTCAAAATGCAACACTTTTGGAAACAATGGCTTATAACTTTGTTGAAAAGAGGACACTCATCTTCTTTGTTCCATAATTACAAAAATTTTTAAGTTTACATTTTATACACCAATTACAGTGGTGAACCAAATGAATTTTTCCATTTCTGAACAATCTATTTCCTTTTAATCACCTTCATATTCATACCAATCTTCAACATGAAAGTAAATGTTGGTAAACAAGCATCATGAAAGATGAAAGAATATCATCATATATTATCTTCCCAAAAAGGAACAGTCCAGATTCCTGTTGGAAAACACTGCATGATAAAAAGTCTTTGCTACAGTGACTAACTGGAAAAAATTACCTGTTTCCTTTTTGTCCTTAAAAATATACTGTTTATTTATCAGTTCCGAAGTTTGAGAAAATCTAGAGTATCATCATCCAAAGACTCATAGTCTTGAGATTTCACTTATATGATTTTTCTAATAACTGTGAAAAGTCTTCTCTATCAAGTATTCTCTTTGCCCTCATGGTAGAAAGTGAGAAAAATTCTGAATTCTCACCTTTGTTCAATGAATGCCATAGTAACAAAAAACCTACAAAGGCTGGGTGTATACCCAATGTCTGTTCCACCATTGTATCTTGGCAGTAGATAAACTTGGTTTTGTTTTTCAGGCTCACAGGTGGAAGGACTTTTGCTTTTGGTCTCCGACGAGACTTTGGACTTTAGACTTTTAAGTTGGTGCTGGAGCAAGCTAAGACTTTTGGGACTATTGGGATAGAATGACTGTATTTTGTATGTGAGCGTGACATGAGTTTTGGGGGGGCGAGGGGCAGAATGATGGAGTTTGGATGTACTGTCCCCTCCAAAACTCATGTGGAAATTTGATCTCCAATGTGGCAGTGTTGGAAACTGATGGAGTCATGGGGGCGGATCCCTCATTTTAATGGATTAATACTCTCCCTGGGGGAGGAAGGATTAATGAGTGAGTTCTCACTCTATTAGTTCCCGTGAGAGCTCGTTGCTTAAAAAGACCCTGGCACCTTCTCTCTCTCTTGCTTCTGCTCTCTGCTTCCTCTCACCATGTGCTCTGCTTGTACCCGCTGGCTGCCTGCCACTTTCTGCCATGAGTAGAAGCAGCCTGAGGCTCACGCCAGATGCAGCTGTCCCAGAATCGTAAGCCAAATAAACCTCTTTCCTTTATAAATTACCCAGTCTCAGGTATTTCTGTTATAGCAACACAAAATGGACTAATACACTGGGTCTCCAGACTTCTTTTATACTTTCTTAAATGATGATGCATACTTTGCATCATAGTGATGATTTATTATTACATCAGCCTTACAGGCAATTCCATCATTCTGCTTTCTTATTGTTTTAGTTATTTTTAGCACACCTGGAAATAACTGTTAAAATAATTACTAGGGTGATGAAATAGCAAAATGTTTCAATAATACATAAAAATGAGATTACTAAAGATCCCATAATATATCTTAGATTTATAAAAGAGTCCAATGGGCCCATACGGTAACTGCAAAATAGAATGAGTTTTATTCGATTAAGAAAATTTTAAATTTCTTGTCCTTTGGCAGACCTTGAAGAAAGAATAAAGGTCACGATATGTTAATCTTCACAAATAGTTAGAACTGCTCAAAACAAAAATCCTCAAAGACCTAAACTGGGGCTGGCTGGTTAGCTCAGCTAGTTAAGAGTTTGGTATTAGTAACACCAAAGTCAAGGGTTTGGATCCTTGTCCCTGGCAGCCACACCCACCCCCCCCCAAAAAATAAAAACTAAACTGGGTCTGACAGATAGTATGCCAATGGTTAACATCTCAAAACTCATGCCCCATTCTTAATTTGTTTTATATTTAACCCATGGCTTCTTAAATACAGATTTAAATCAAAACTTTCAAATTGCACTTTTTGCCTCTTTTAGGAAAAAAAAATTCTTCACTATATTATATATATCTTTTTAATTCTTATTCATTCTACCTATTCCTTGTAATCTATTTGATTTTTTTTGATAAATATTAACTTTTGTTTTAATATTTGAACTATTATTTCTTAGCCTTGCTACAGAGATGCAATCCAGGATTTCTTTTCCTTAGATACCAAGGTGAGTTCTACTTTTTCTTATATCCACACATCATCTTCCTATCACCCTTGTTTTGCTGGAATTCACACAAGCATAGGTAAGAAACAAATGTTTTGAGAACTTGCCTATCTGTTTGTAGTTAATTGGACTGATACTCTGGCTACGCATAATTTGCAGATTTATAATCATTCCCCTGCAACCATTTGATATCAGTGCCCCATTGTTTTCTAATGTAATACATGTTGTTGTGGTTAAAGAGTTAAAAAAAAATACTTTTCCCCTTCTCCATCTGACTAACTAGTTCTGTTCCCCCGAGTGACCTGTTAAGGGTTATATGTCAAGTATGTTGCTTGGCAACACTGATTGTGATAAAAAGATTCCCTGATGGATAAACTGTCTCTACACTGGAAAAATTGTATTTCTCTTACAGTAAGCCACAGCTTTCAGTTTCCTGAGTGTAATGACTCTCTTGTAACTAAACATGTTCCTTATGGGCACCCAGAAAGTGCTATGTTTCAAGAGACGTTGGCTGCCATGGAACACTATGCATTTTAACCCAGGGTAGCTTCCACACTCACAAGAATGTCCTCATCTCCTTGTACTTGAGTAAACTGCTGCAAAAGTTGCTATAAGGACTCTCCCAGAAGAGGGATGAAGTTGCCCAGCTGTGTTAAGGGCACAGCTAACAGATGTGGCCTATGAAAGTCATGTTGAGTAGGAATGTTTAGTAGAACATAAAAAGACCCCACGAAGGGAATTGCAATTGCTAATGAGAAGCCTGATGCGATCCTAACTATGCTTTCTTGAACTGACTTGTTTAATTTTACAATGATATATCTAGGTTGGAGTCTTTTCCATCCTGACTGGCGTCTAGTGAATTCTTTCAATCTATAAAGACTCACTTCTTGCTTTAGCTTAAGAAAATATTCATGTACCATATCTTATATAATTTCCTCTTAACTCTTTTTGAAACACATATTAGTTAGAAATGATAATTACTAAAATTATTCCTCATTGTCACTTTTATCTCATTCTGTTTCAGACTTTTTACTGTATTTTTGGGGGGACCTTTTCAACTTTACATTATCTCCCTACAATTGAACTTTGTATTTCAGCAATCAATCATAATTTTCATTGCTTTTTTTATTTTTTAGTTGACGTGTAATAACTGTACATATTTATTGGGTACAGAGTAATATTTCAATATACCATGGCATGATTAAACAAGGATGATCATAATCTTTTTTTTTCCTTTTTGTCTTTTTTTTCTTGTGACCGGTAACGGGATCGCAACCCTCAGTGTCGCGCCCGCACCGCAACCGGCAACGGGATCGCAACCCTCGGTGTTGCGCGCGCACCACGCTCAACCAGTGAGCAGACCGGTCTCCACATGGGATCCGAACCCTCGGCGGGAGCGCCACCACGCTCCCAAGCGCCGCACTCTACCAAGTGCGCCACTGGGCCGGCCCAGGATGATCATAATCTTAATGTCTTTTTATTATCTCGTCCTTTTCTATAACAATCTGCCCATCTATCATGGATGCAGTTTCTTCATAAATCTCTCAAAATAAACACTTTCTGTTTATTTTTAAATTTGTCTTCTATCTGAAGAATCTTCTTTTTCCTTTGAGATTGGTTATTCAATGTATATTGTGGTCTTTCATGCTCCTAGTTTTCAGTTTGACAATCCTTCATTATCTATTTACATATAAAAATGCAATTATGGGTTAATAATTCCAGGTATCTGGTGTGATTTTTCTCCACCACCATATATTTAGGTTTTCACTGGCTAGAAGTCTTCTCAATATATGACTTTGAACTATTTCAGTAGAAATATTACACTTTTATGGGTTCCATATAACACTGACCTCCATAATGAAATACGTAAGCCATGCCTATCTGATGGAGTTTGGATGTCCTGTCCCCTCCAAAACTCAAGCAGAAATTTGATCCCCAGTGTGGCAGTGTTGGAAACTGATTGAGTCATGGGGGCAGATCATGAATGGATTAGTACTCTCCCTGGGGAAGGGAGGATTAATGAGTGAGTTCTCACTCTATTAGTTCCCGTGCGAGCTGGTTGTTTTAAAAGACCCTGGCACCTTCTCTCTCCCTCTTGCTTCCTCTTACCATGTGATCTGCTTGTAGCTGCTGGCTGCCTGCCACCTTCCGCCATGAGTAGAAGCAGCCTAAGGCCCATGCCAGATACAACTGTCACAGAATTGTAAGCCAAATAAACCTCTGTTCTTTATAAATTACCCAGTCTCAGGTATTTCTGTTATAGCAACACAAACGGACTAATACACTATCAGAGAAGAGAGGCAAAAGAGATTTTAATTATAAACAAGTGTTAGAACTTACCTTACACTAATAGTAAACATTTCCAGGATGTCTTTTCCTAGTAACCAGCCAACCAACATGATGATACCTGGAACAGAAGAATCAAATAGCTATTTTTCCCTTTCATATAAAATCACCTAGAAAGGACAGAAGGCATCCACCTTATTTATTTCCCTTGATATAAAACGGAAAGTCTATCAGATCACAATTACAAGGTTTTACAAAAAATCCATTAAGCAGGAGAGATTAAAGATAACACGGCTTATAGTTAATGCTGTGCATGCGCATGTGCACACACATACACAGTTTTACCTTTGGTTGCTATTGCTCCCATCCATCATATTAAAGCAATAATATCTGATACTTCAAAAAAAAAATCACCAGAATTTCCATTATTCTTTCATAATTCAATATCCAGACAATACACATTAAGTTTCCACTGAATACGAAGGAACACTTAGTATTTGGCTAAAAGGGTGATGCACCTTACTTCAAACACTTAAAACTGAATTACATTTAAAAATTACTACTTTCATGGCATTTTTTTTTTAATTAACAGAAACTATACTCAGTGCTTTAACTTTTTCTCTTTAAAAGATTAGGGGGCAAAGGGTGCACCATCAGGTTTATGAGGAAAAAGAAAATACAGTATCACCAGAAATTTGATAAAATAAAGCAACTTCAAGTTTGTATTTAGATCATTTAAAACAAGTTTTTTTAAATCTTTTTGTAACTACAAAATAATGATCCAGGTAGTGATCCTCTAACATCCTATCCCAAATACTATCCTGATAAAGAAATTATGCCCAATGAATCATACAAGGGGTCAATAAACTATAATCCATAAGCCAGCCTCTTACCTGTTTTTGTAAATAAAGTTTGTTGGAACATAGCCAGCCTGTTTGTTTACATATTGTCTATGGTTACTTTCGTGTTGATGGCAAAGCGAAGTAGCTCCAACAGCGAACCTATGGACCATGAAACTAAAATATTCACTTATCATCTAGTCCCTTACAAAAACAAGTTTGCAGACCCCTCATCTAAATCTTCACCCTCATCCTATTCCATATATTACCCTGAGAAGAAAAATTATGTTCAATGTATTATACTAACACAGAAACAGACAATCATAAAAAGCTGAAATATTTATCAATAAACTTGAGATGGTTTTATAATACGGTATTAATATAAACTAGAAAAATCAAATTCACTATAAAATTTCTACAAAATAAACAGCAGTAATCAAATGAAAGGAGCAAAAGAGCTTACATACCAGTTAAACAAAAGCAACTAAATACCTTCCTACTTTCTACTTTATGTATATGATGAAAACAAATGGATAAATAGAACTAATATTTAAGGAATTATCTCCCTGAAACTGGATAGCAGAAATATTGCTTTAAAGCTGCATTACTGCCTTTGAAACACTAAGCTACTTAAAACAATGAAAATAACACGATGAGGGAATTACAGAAAACACTCCAAAATAAATGCAAGTGTTTAATGTATGATAAAGATGTAATTTTAACTCAATGAATAAGTAATAGATTATACAAGTAATGGGACTGAAAAAATTAAATTTTGATAATTAATTAAATTAAAAGTTATAACTCTACCCGAAGCCACATACTAAAATAAAATTTAAATAAAATAGCAAAATAAGGCAACAAAAATAAAAACTATAGTAAAACACTGTTTAAATAAATTTTCTTATAAACATGAAGTTGGGAAACTCACACTAAACATAACAAAACAGAAACCATAACTGCAGAGATTATCCTAAGAGAGTGTTAAAAGAATCTCAAGGAAAGGGGATGTTTCAATTTCACACATCTCCCTCCTACTAAGTTCATTCTACATCCCTCAAAGGCAATTTAAAAATTGGGAGAAAAATACCTGTAACTTAAACAACAAAAGGAATGATATCCTAGCTAAATAAAGATCTGTTATCAATCTAAGACTCAAGCCGTAAGAGAAGAAGAAATAAAAAATAGTTGGCAGGCCATAAAATAAAATAAAAAGGATCAACACATATATGACAAAGTATGCAGTTTCTCTAATAATAAACTGCGAAATAAAATGAGAAACCTTTTATTCACCTGTGAAGTTAATGACAACACTCAAAGGTGGCCAAATATTTAAAAATTACATGGATACCCTTTGACTCAATAATTTTACTTCTAAGAATTTCTCCTAAAGAATAAGAGGTTTTTACAACATAAATGAAGAGTTATAGAGTAAAACCCTCAAAAAATCTAAATAAATGTTTAAAAGAGGTCTGATTATTTATATATCTATATACACAGCGATATATACACACAGTCATGTGTCGCTCAACAATAAGAGATATGTTCTCAGAAATGCATCATTAGGTGATTTTGTTATTGTGGGAACATGATAGGGTGTACTTACGCAAACCTAGATAGAATAGCCTACTACACACCTACACTATAGAAAGGGAATTCAAAAAGTCCATGGAAAAATAGAATTAAAAGATAAAAATAAAAACTTTATTTCTCAAGATAAGCTCCATCAAGTTCAAGATACTTTTGTAAGTGATGGCACCAGCCTTTTAGTCTATCCCTAAAGAACTGAGAGTCCTGAGAGTTTAACCAGGTCAGTGCAGTCTTTTTCACATGATTAACTTAAGAAAAATGGGTGCCCATTAAAGATTTTGTAAGACTAGGAAACAGTCAGAAGGAGCCAAATCAGGACTGTAAGGTGGATGGATGCCTAATGATTTCCCATTGCAACTCTTGCAAAATTGTCCTTGTTTGATGAGAGGAATGGGCAGGAGTGCTGTCACTCCTGTGAGAGAAGGACTCTCTGGTGAAGCTTTCCCCAGGCATTTTTCTGCTAAAGCTGTGACTAACGTTCTCATAACAGTCTCACAATAAGCAGATGTTATCATTCTCTGCACTCCCAAGTGGCGCACTGTAGCAGTGCGCCTCGTATAACTTCGTATAATGTATGCTATACGAAGTTATTACGAGGATCTTGATTCCACTTATTTAAAATTTCCATCGAAAGCTCCGCTCTTGTCTGCAGCTGTTCTAGGCCTAACAGTTTTGGCACCCATTGAGTGAAAAGTTTACTCAACTTGAATTTTTCGGAATTGTGTAAGCTGAACCAATTGAGATGTCTATGGTGTCGGCTATTATTTCTGCTGTTAATCGTTGGTCCTCTTCAATTAGGGCATGGACAAGATTAATTGTTTCCTTGCAAACTGATGTGGATGTTCTGCCGCTGTGGGCTTCATCTTCGACATTGTCTCGTCACTTCTTACAACGAGTTATCCATTTATAAACTGTTGACTTCTTTGGGACATTGTCTCCATAAACTTTTTGTAAAGCATCAGTGATTTCACCATTCTTCCACCCAAGCTTCACTATAAATTTGATGTTTGTTCTTGCTTCAATGTTAGCAGAATTCATGTTGCTCTGACAGGGCTCTCTTCAAACTGACGTCTTATCCTTCTTAGTGTCTCAAACTAGATCCTGTTCACACATGTTACAATGAGTTAACATGAGTTTATTTTGGTATAAAAAAATTTTGAAAGTTATTCATAGTTTTTTCATAATATACATTTTCCATGAACTTTCTGAAGACCCCTCTTCAAAAGTATAGCCATTATAATTCTACAAGACCACCATCATATATGCAGTCAGTCATTAATGGAAATATTGTTATGCAGTACATGACTATATTAACAAAATGAAATACTATACAACCTTTCCATTTGTTTTAGGTGAGCATCTATCTAATAACAAGATATTTATGATAGAATATGTAAAACAAAAAAAGAAAACAGTCCATAAAACAATACTATCACATTTTTGTTGAAGACTAGAAGGACAAATACTAAAATGTTTTCAGAAATGCTCTCTGATTATAGGAATTACACACAGTTCTATTTTTTCTCTGTAGAAAAGCAATGATTGGGATTTAGTTTTATAATAAAAAATAGCATTAAGCTTTTTTTAAAAATCAAGAGCAAATAAATAGGACTAGTATAACTCCGCCATTCATACTCAAGAGAAAATCCAAGTAAAAATGGACTATATACATACTCACTCTTCTCTTACCTATTATACCAAAGGAGTAAAAGGAAAGCTGTTTTCCTAAGAGGTCCATGCTCTTCTGCAGAGGGGTTTTTGGTGCCTTGACAAATTGGAGAAGAGTGTCACCACAATTAGCTAAATGTATTAAGCTTCAACAGGGACCAGGTACCCTGCTAAGTGCTTGACATACCCATTCCAACTCTCCTAAAAATATTACCATCTTCACTGAGGAAAGTGACACTGCGACATTATCAATGCCCCAGGTCATACAGTAAGAAATGAAAAGAAAAAAAAAAAAAAACCCTCAATTTTAACCTGTTTATTTGAAAAGATGCATTCTTCCTATGCTCCCCTTTAAGGAAAAATCTGTTTTCCCTCCTACCAGCTTCTCAAGGACGAAAGTACCATCAACTGCTTCCTCTATTACTTTTTCCCACCCCCACTTTCTGTATCCAGAAACATGCTAGTAACCCAGGTCTTTTTGTCCTGTGGGCTCTCTGATCTGCTAACCCTCTTTTCTAGCTGTCCCTTCACTGCCAAGCTTCATGGAATGGATTTCCACACTGCATCACATACTGGAGTCTTGGCAGGTTACCTGAGAAATCTAGATGATTTTGGAGAAACATATTTGCAGAATGCAGCTTCATTTTTTTATATAAGAAACTATTTTAAATGAGAGAACTCATCTTGTAAAATCCTTAACCAAGAATATTTTCTAGGCTTTTTTTCTTGGCAATCTTTTTCCTCCCTTACTTGGAACCATGTAAAGTTGGAAATTTTGGTAGAAGACATGTTCTGAGATACAAATAAACTAATTAGTAATCCTTAAAATTAATATGATAGAAGGAATTTCAAAAAAAATAAGATCTACAAATAATTAGCTATAAACCATTTTCTACTACAAACAATAAATAAAGATCAAAATCTTTTGAAGTACTGACAATGTCAATTCAGGCTCTTCTAATTATAGGCTTTCCAATTATGTTTCTAAGCAGAGACAACTGAGTAATACTCTGAATAAAATATTGATTTCAACAGTACATATAATAACCCATCAATATTCTCCTTTCCTATTCTTACAATGGAAAATTCCAGTTCTGAAACAAATACATCATTAACACATTATATACTCACTTCTTCTGCTTGCATCATTTTAAAAACCTCTCCAAATTCAGAATTTTCTCCTGTTCCAATGACAATACCCTAAGGGGAAAAACAGGAAAATTCATCTACATTCAGATGGAATAGCCTCTGTCAACCAAAAAAAACAAAAACAAAAACAAAAAAACCTTTTGTTCCCTTTCTTCAAAGTCTTATCTATAGAGATGTCTAAAATACATATCCAAGTTTTCCTTAGCAAACTTACTTTTTCATGTTAGTATTAGTATTTTACCCCTTTTGATGCAAAACTTGGAAGCGAACAACTCATTAAACTTAATAATGACTCAATTCTGAGGCCCCATATTTTGCCTATATTAATTTTTCTGAAATACAAATCTTTCTTATATTCAACTGAGACATTTAATGTAGTTTCTCTTTCCCCTTCACTGGCTATTGAACGGTGGCTTTTACATTGGTGGAACACTACTATTCAGGAAATAAAATATTTGAAATCAATCACAAGGTGAACAACATGTATTAAGAATATTATAGCCAGTACCATATCCACTAAACTAGAGATTTATGTAACTTGTAATGAACACATCCATGAACTATTATTTCTATCTTTAAAAAGGAACAGGTACTGAGGACTATCCATTATCTGGTAAATGGCAGGACTGTGAATACATTATACTTCAGGGACACAGCTTCCCCCCAACCTCACAAATAGCTTGTTAAGGGTTAAGTTCAATTCTGTCTTTTCTTCGTCACATATTTTGAAAAAAAAAAAAAAATCCACATAAAATGACCAACAACAAAAAAAAAAATTTGAGAAAATAATTTTTAAAAGGAACTGCTTTTTTAAAAACAAGAAAAAAAATTACCTTTGCCTTGCCACATCTGACCAGTGTTCCCATGAATGCAATGTTACTTCTTGATGCGAGATCCCCATTTGTTGCAGCTGGCTGAGGAGCTGTCACTTTAGAACAAGGTGTTGTCTCTCCTGTCAAGCTAGACTCATCAATGGAAAGATCCACAGCCTTGGAGGATATAAAGCATTCCATAAATTCAAGTCTGTGCCACACTTAACATCGTTTGAGATTTAACATCTCAAGAGTTTGTAACCATCACTTCTTCCTCATATACCCCCTTTCTATTGATTGGCCATATCTTTATTATATCCATTACTGTAAGACACAAGACCAGCATTACTACAACCATATTTTAAAATAAAATGTTAACAAAATCTGAGATGTGCAAAGTAAAATAGAATGCTGTACCATGAGACTAGATTAGCCTAAAATTCAAAATACAACGAGGAAAAAGGAGACGCTAGCTGAGACTCAATCTTTATCTGGAGAAAACTAAACTTTCGTGACAAAATATTATTTCCTAATTTTGTCATACCCCTAAAGTTCTGGAAATCTGTGGCAGCTTAAAACTGACTATGACAGGGCCGGCCCGGTGGCGCACTGCTACAGTGCGCCACTTGGGAGTGCGGCGGCGCTCCTGCCGAGGGTTCGGATCCCACATACAGACCGGTTCCTGCTCACTGGCTGAGCGAGGTGCGGGCGCAACGCCGAGGGTTGCGATCCCATTGCCGGTCCCGGTCCGGTACGGGCGCGACACTGAGGGTTGCGATCCATTGCCGGACACGAAAAAAGACAAAAAAAGAAAAAAAAAACTGACTATGACAGAGATATATAAATAAAGGGTAAAAAATTACTGAGAAATTCATCATTCTGGGTTCAATTTTCATGAAATTCTTCTTGCTATATACCACAGTATTTATTCCAAATTAAGTTAGCAAGAATCAAAAATGTACATAAATATTTCCATGAAGGTAATAAATATCATAGTATCTTTCAACTTTATAACACAATTGCATTCTGAGTTCATTCCCAAGCATGTAAAAAACCATCATTTTATGTGTGGAAAACACTGCAAATGTGACCTGGCTCTGTTTCTGAAAGTATGGCCCGCAGAAGAATACTTCCCAAGGATGTGAATAGGCACTGTGTGTAATGTAATAGACAGGTGATTGACTGATAGATACATACATACACCTGGGGGGAAGGAGCAGGGAGTAACCAGGGCCAAATAAGTTTTGGAAATAATGAGTTAAAGAGTTAAACAGGTTCCCCTATTCCAGCGCTTCTCAAAACCTTCAATACACTAGTACGAATCGCCTCAACAGGAATACAGATACAGTAGGGGTTCTCAAAGTATGGTCCCAGCAGAACCAGCATCACCTCCACCACCTCAGAACTTAGAAATGCAAATCCTCTATCCCACCTCAAACACAAGGGTGGGGAAAGGAAACCTAACAGACTGTATTTACAAGTCATCCAGGTGATTCTAATGCACACTCAAGTTTGTGAATCAGTGGAATTCAGTGTTTCCCAAACTTCTTTGATCCATTTTATTCCAAAAGCTCTTACTCAAGCGTCTTTGGGAAACTAGGAACGAGTTCATGATTTTACTCATTTTACAGGCTCTTTCACTCACCCAACAAACATTTACTGACTACCTTAACTATATGCTAGGCACTAGGCTAGATCCTGGAAAGGAAACAAGGAAATAAACTCAGAGCTGTTAAATTACTGTTCAGTCTCACTGTCTTACAAACTGAGCTTTCATTCTCATTCAGGCCTCAACTCACAGTTTATACTACGTACAAAGTACTCTAAACTTTAAATCTTTTTTTTTTTTTTTTTTTTTTTTGGAGCAGGCAGCAAAAGGTAATAAATCACATTTTTTGGAGTTGGGGGAACAAATGGCAAGAAGTCAAATGGCTGATTTCATTATGAGTATAAATACCTTATCTCATATAAAATGTTTATAAAAAACTGGTTCACATATCCTTCTTCCCATCTCCATCAACAAAACTGTTTTAATTTGATCAACACCGTTCACTTGTTCACTTAAGTATTTATTAGTGCTTACAATGTGCCAGACCCTGTGCTCTATCACACACAATGGGAGAATAAGAACTTAACAAATCAAAGTTCTTACCCTTGGCTACTATTCTAATATAAAAGTCTTTATTTTGTTGTTGTTTTTTGGTGACTGGCCAGTAGGCAGATCTGAACCCTTGACCTTACAACACTGTTACAACACCATGCTCCACCAAGGAGCATGGCCAGACCCCCGAAAAGTAATTTAAAAAACAAATAAGCATCAGTATATAATTTAAGGCCAGGTAGGGGAAAAAAGCATAATAAAGATAGAGTGACATTTTAGTTAGAAAAAAAAAGAACATTCTCAAAAGCGGGTTAACCCTTCTGCAGAGCCCTGATAAACCTGAGGGCTCCAAGCCTGGGCCACAACCAAGGAGAAAGGACTCCAAGCAAAGGGAGCAGAAAGTACAAAGACCCTAAGAGCAGTAACACGTTTGGTATATTCGTGTGCTAAACACATAACTTTGCAAATATAATCAAGAGTTTACAACATTAGATCATGAAGTTTTAAAATATTCAATATAAAATTAAATTATATAACTCCAAAGACACCAAACTGTGTTAGCATTTCCCAGATCTTTAGGTACCATGGCAATGTGATACATTTTATTATCAAAAGAGGCTTAGAAAAATTATTCCTTAAAACACAGATCAACGGTCCATTAGTCTTTAAAGACTTAACATTTAATATAATCGTGTACATAAACATAAATCAGGTAAATTTGGATTCATTACCTCAACCCAACTATAGATTAAAAAGCTTCTGCCATGTTCAAAGGTGATGAAATTTTTCTTTATTAAAGAACCATATTTATTCGGATTTTCTTTCCAAATTAACCTTAGAACTGTATAACTTTTCCCACCAATACATTTATTACTAAGGTTAATAAAACTTGTAAGACAGGCCTTTCTTCAAAGATGATGCTAATACAAACAACAATCAGCTGACATTTCATTGATCACTATCTGCTAGGCACTATGTTATACATCTATGATAAATTGTCACATTTAATTCTAAAAACTCCTATGAGGCAAGTACTACTATTATTATCATCCCTGTTTTACACACACTCTGAAAGGTTAGGTAACTCACCCAACATCATACAGACAGAAAGTTATGGAGACAAAAATCACAATGTTGACAAATGCTAAAACTCCAGATTCCTCTTATTTACAGAATCAATCTGGAAATTATTTTTCCTCCCCACTTTCATAAATATCTGTTTAAAGTAGTTAATTGAGCAAAGATATGTAAGAACTTATGTGGTTTTTCTTTTTACTTACAAAAGTGAAATATATAAGGTTCTTTTTTATTTTGCAAACTCTTCTTTATTGCTTCTTACAACAATCAAACTGCATGTAATTTTCTGAGATCTTAATTAGAAAAGAAACCTACTGGGCTGGCCCGGTGGCGCACTCGGTAGAGTGTGGCACTTGGGAGCGCAGTGGCGCTCCCGCCAAGGGTTCGGATCCCACATAGAGACCGGTCCGCTCACTGGTTGAGCGCGGTGCGGGCACGACACCGAGGGTTGCGATCTCGTTGCCGGTCACGGTACGGGCGTGACACCGAGGGTTGCGATCCCGTTACCGGTCACGAAAAAAGACAAAAAGGAAAAAGAAAAGAAAAGAAACCTACTAATACTCAAAAGCAAATAAACACCAGATATATCCACAGAATTATTTCTCTGAGAGGTAAAATTCATGTTTACCCTTTGAAAATTTTTACTTTAAATGTAAATCAAACATGGATAAATATTAATATGAGTTGACTCTCTAGGGAGAAGGAATAAAAGAATAATTTGACATTTTTAAAAAGGGAAGAAAAGCATGGCTTTACTGGCTCATCAGTGGCCTAGTTCTTCAGTTTCAGCCTGAGCAGAACAATAGCCATTTAAGAGAATAAGTATTTTTGGTTAAAGAAAGTTTTTCTATAGAAAATATGCATGTCATTTTTAGCACAACAGCAATCAGCTTTGTCTAGTGGAAGAAAAAGGGGCTTAAGAACCTTATTTTTTTTTCTATGATTGTAAATTAGTAACTAAACTAAAATTATCAACCAGAATATTTTCTAACTTACAAGTTATTTTTTCACGTTATTTTTTCTTAACGGTGATTGCAAGAGTTTTCACAGGAAACAGTTTTGAGGAATTTGGAGGGAGGAGCTCATTTCTAAAAAGGGTGGTATTTAGTATATTAGACAAGCATATTATAGTTTTAAAAAGCATTATTTTAATTCATCTGAGAAGAAAGATATTAGATCATTTATCCATTGCATTCATGAGACAGGGAAAAATAGGATAAAATGAAATTAAAGAATCAGTCAGTCCCATGCCTCCTAACCAAAAGTTTAAACATTAAACTTTCAGAAGAGCTGTTAATGAATAGGGAAACTGATTAAGTTTCACTTTCGTTTTTCTTCGGATGCTGGTGGAGAGGTGAATAAACTACAACAGAGTTCAAAAATCAGAATATAAATAAGAATTAAGATGCACATGTAAGCCACAATCTGAATATTTAACATCTACACAACAAAAATGATTAGAAAAATTCACAAGACTATTATTCCCATAAAACACTAGGCTGAAAGAAAGCAAATGCCATTCACAAAGGTTTCCAAAAAGACAGAAAATGACTGATTAAAACAATTAAGGTTAATATGGAACAACTAAACAGCCTGGTGTACAGTATGCTACTAAGGCAATCACCTCTCTAGTCTCGAATTAAAAGCAAATCATTAAAAAGCAAATTAGATTCAAATGAGGAAAAGTGTAAACAAAAATACACGATACTAACTTTAAATTCATGAGCTCTAACTTACTAACTCAAAACCCAGTCAACCAAGTGTTATAAATTATAGAAAATACATAAAATTTATTTTATCCCATGGTAAATGCTTCCCTGAATTGCTAACTTTCTGACTTAAGTGCACAGATACAACTTGATCAAGTTGCCAATCAAAGGCCAGTATTCAGTAAACAAGGATTTCTAGGATATTTCACTATGACCATTAAACCAAATTTCAGAAAGTATCTACCCTTGCAATAGTCCTTTCCTATCTAGAATTGAGAATCTTTTAAAAA